AGGTACAAACATCTTTGGAAGTGTATAGCTGAACTTGGGAGGGCTGGTGGGAAGGGGGCTCTCTAATGAGAGAGAGAGAGAGAGAGAGAGAGAGAGAGAGAGAGAGAGAGAGAGAGAGCCCATGTGTGCCACTAACTGATTCCTCTTCGTTTCCTCAGGGACAGGCTTGCTCATCTCATGATTTAACAGACTTCAGGAGTTGCTGGTGGAAAGTTGAAGGCAACAGATCCTCTTCTAGCACTTCCAGCACTAACTCAGCCCTGTGGACATCTTAATTGTAGCCCAGTGAGACCCATTTCTGACTTCTCTCCAGAGGCATAAGGCCATATATTCATGAGATTTTTAAGTCACCAAATTTGTGGAAATTAATAGTAGCAATCAAGAGACTCAGAAATTCAGCAGTGCCTTTAGGAGAAAGTTAACCTGCAATCTGGTGGTGGCCATGTGATCCTCAGTAAATTGCTTAACTTCTATGAGCCTCCAGTTCATCATATGAGAGACACTACAGGTTTGTAGTGTAGATAAATGTGAGGACTTACAGTACATAGTGGACAGTCTGCTATAGAGAACATCTTCATTACTGTTATCATTGTCAAAACTTGTCACTGAGCACTTGACAGGAGTTAGGCTTAGATCACAGACTTTCCAGTTACTACTAGTCTGAACAAATCAGGCCATGCCTCTTGCAATCTCTCTTCCCCTGGAATCTCTTGTACCAGGGACATACCAGGGACTACTTATTAACCACACCTGCTGATTCACAGCATGCAAACCCCCACCCAAACCTATAAGGGGGAACGTGCTTAGTCTGGTAGGACTGAGGCTCCCTGTTTCCAGACTCCATCAGTTCCATGTGCTGTATCTGCGGTGTTGATATAGTACCCCTTAAAGGGAAATTCATCTCAGCTCCTCTCTTTTGAATCAAATCATTTCTCATCTCCAGTCCTGATTTAAATCTAACATTAGGAAGCCTGGGTCCTGCTCCTGTCCCTAGGCCCCTGTTTCCAGGACACAAAACCAGACAGCCTCAGTAGCCTCATAGCACCCCTTTGTCACTCTTGCTCTTCACAGATCTTTACTTCCTCAGCTATGGCTGGTGGTCTGTCAGTTTCAGGGGTGTTTTGCTTTGTATTGTTTGGATTTTTGAAACATTTTTACATTTTAAATTACATTTTGTTTATTCTCTCTCATTCTCTCTCTCTCTCTCTCTCCCTCCCTCCCTCCCCCCTCCCCCCATATAATCACATACCTGTGGGAGGTCAGAAGACAACTTGAAGGACTCAGTTCTCTTCTTCCTCCATGGGGTCTTGTCAGGCGTGGCGGCAGGCACCTTTACCCACTGAGCCATCTTGCTGGCCCTGGGTATTGTTTAAAGATGGCCTCACACTGAAGCTCAGGGTAGCTTAAAAGTTACTAGGTAGCCAAAGCTGACCTGTAAGTCACAGTAGTCTTTCTGCCCCAGGCTCCCAAGTGCTGGGATGACAGGCAGGAGCCACCAGCTCAGCTCTGACTGTTTATACATGGTCTCGGCCTGCAGTGTGTGCTCTTTCCAGCCCTTTCCCCAGGTAAAACCCCTTTTCTCTCTTGTCTTGACTGATTCCAGTTACATTTGTGTAGACCCCATGGCTATGCATTCTTAATTTACCCTTTAAAAACCCTAAATTTGAATTAGAATACTTTGACCTATTTGCTACAACGGTGTTGTTTAAATAAAATAAAACATTTCAAATAAACCTGAAGTGGTTGAAGTCCTCATACCTTTGCCTACTTTCTTCACCCCCACCCCATGCATCAAGCATACTCATGGAACTTGATGCATACCACCATGTTTTAAAACTTTTAATACCCATATTCCCATGAGAAGCACAGAGAACATACTTTTGTGCTTATAATTAACACAAATTGTAGCCTTTAAAAATGTTTTATTCTACAACTTTCCTGTATTCAATTAACAATAGTTTGGGGGCTATTTCCCTGTTGGTGACAATCTGTGCTGAATTGTAGTATTAGAATACATCCACTTTATCCATCCAACATGCTCCTAATGGGATTTTAGATTATCTCTAATATTTTCCACTGTCATATGACCTATGTACAGGTGCAAAAAGTTCTTTAAGGAAGGTTGGGCCTTGCACATTGGATAGAAGATGAAGGCTACTCCACAGAGCTGTGCAGCTATATCCAGTGGACCTGGACACTTGCTTCAGAAGTGCCCCCAATACCAGTGACTTTAGTTATGTTCTCAGTAGAGAACTTCTTAATAGCCTTGACCTTGGGCATGAATTGGCTCCAGTTCTTGCAGCAAATGGGTTGCAATGGTCACAGCCCTTTTGGGCATGACTGTTGTTCTTTTTTTTTTTTGTCATCTTCAAAGGCAGGGCCTGAGAGTGCTTTTATTTGTTTGCTTATTTTTTACAGCTGATGTATTTGAAGAATAATTTCTGTGTGTTTAATACACATTTCTCAGCTGTTAGCCATTCGAGTTTCTTTCTCCTTCCTTTCTTCCCCTTTCCTCTCCCTTTCCCTCCTCCCTTATCCATCTCCTCTCCCTCCATCCCTTTTCTATATCATTTTTTCTCCTTCCTTCCTTCCTTCCTTCCTTCCTTCTCTCTCTCTTTCTTCTTTCTTTCTTTCTTTCTTTCTTTCTTTCTTTCTTTCTTTCTTTCTTTCTTTCTTTCTTTCTTTCTTTCTTTCTTTCTTTCTTTCCTGTTTTGTTTTCCAGGCAGGATCTTAGTATGTAGCCATAGCTGGCCCAGAACTCAATATATAGCCTAGGCTGTACTCAAACTTGTGACAATTCTCCTGTTTTTCCTGCCCCAGGATTGTAGAAGTGTATGCACCGCCATACCTAGCTCACTTAAATTTTTAAAAATTTATTATTTTTATTTTGTGTATGAGTGCATTTCCTATATGTGCACCTGAGTCATGCAGTGCCAGAGGAGGACAGAAGAGGGCATCAGGTCCTCTGGATCTGGAGTTATGAATGGTTGTTAGCTGCGTTGTTGGTTCTGGGAACTGAACCTGGGTCTTCTCTAAGAGCAGCCAGTGCTCTTAACTGCTGAGCTATTTCTCCAGCCCCCTAGCATAATATTTTTGAGGTTCATCCATACATCAGTATCGTTGTGTATCAGTGCTCATTCCTCTTTACAGCTGAGTAACATTCTCTTATATGTGTCTACTGTAACTTATCTCCAGATAGACATTCAAGTTGTTTCCATTTGGGGGTTATTGTGAATTCTGTTGCTATGAACATGTATATAGAAATATTTGAGTTCCTGTTCCATTCTCAATTCTTTTGTGCATATATTTAGTTTTAAGGCTTTCTGTGTTCATTCTTGTTTCACAGTCTGTAACTATCCATTTAATTAATGTGTCTCATTCATTCATTTATTCATTTACTAGACAATGTTGGCCAGCTGCCATGTGCCAGCACTGTGCTAAGCTCTGGAAGCTATACCAGCTTTTTTTTTTCTTTCTAGGTGTTTATGGGGGATAGAGAGTATGAATTAAAGGAATGTGCCCAGAGTAAAGGAATGGATGACAGATGTTCTGAGATAAAATACAAGCAGGACAGAGAGTGTGAAAAGAGCCCTCAGCAAAGAGAACCCCAAGATGAACAGAATGAGTACATTTAAGAATGCAGGATGGGGGGCTGGAGAGATGGCTCAGCAGTTAAGAACACTGATTGTTCTTGTAGAAGACCTGGGCTTGAATCCCAGCACCCACATGGCAGCTAATAACTGTCCAAAACTCCAGTTCCAGGGGATCTGATGGCCTCTTCTGTCCTCCATAGGCATTGCATGACACAGGTGCACTTACCTACATGCAGGCAATACACTCATACACATAAAATAAAAATAACAAAAAATTTTAAAAAAAGAATGCGTGATGGGAAATAAGGGTCTAACCAGTAACTGAAAGCAGGTCAGAGACTGAAGGGAAGGAACAGGGCCTCTCAGTAGGCTGGGCAAGCTTGGGAAGCTGTGTGGGCATAGGGAGATGGTGGAGTGTGAGCTCCAAGAGCTCAGGCAGAAAAGGAATAGAGATGGACAGGTGAGGTGGGCACTAGAACAGGAGGCTGCAGCAGGTGTGGAGGTGATCTCTGGCATATGGTTGGTGTTTAAGCATTGTTAGCCGGGGATGATGGTGCATGCCATTAATTCTAGTATTCAGTAGGCAGAGGCAGGCAGATCTCTGAATTTGAGGCCAGACCTGGCTACATAGTGTGACCCTGTCTCAAAACAAAAAAACTAACAACAGTAAAAAACTGTTAAGATTGGAACATAGCCCATTTGTAGAATGCTTGCCTGTCATCCAGGAGGCCCTAGGCTCAACTCCCAGTACCACATGCACAAAAAGCAAATTATTATTTTTACATTGTTTTTTTGAGGCAGGGTCTCAAGTCACCCAGCAGGCCTCAAACTCACTTTGTAGCCAAGGATGCCCTTGAATTCCTGATCCTCCTGCCTCTCCCCACCAAGCGCTGGGATTACAGTCAAGCATGATGCTGAAGAATTGGAGAAAGTGACCTGAGCATATGCTTGTAATTCTAGTACTTGGGATTATCAGGAGTTCAAGGTTATCCTTGACTAGGTAATGAGTTTGAGGCTAGCCTGGGTGACGTGAGCCTGTTTCAACTAACAAACCAAACCAAACAAATAAACAAAAAAGTGACTGAGTGACTAGGGGTAGGATAGAGGTTACTGACAGTGCTATTAAACAATATGTGACCTGGTGAGGGACCTTCTTTCAGCTAAGGACAGCTAACTATTGCATTTTCCAAAACGTGACTATTTTTAAGTTGCCGTACTTTTTAGAACCTGATGATGCAAATTTCTGACCAAGTGTGCACCACGTGGGAAAGTGGGAAAGGTTAAAGTCCACGGACCTGGTGTCCAGGACTCCTAAGAGCACCCAGAACTGTAGTGAGAGGGAGCCTGCGTACTCCCAAAAGGCGTGGCCTAAGCTCATCCAATCAGAGTGGCGGATCCGGACGCCTCCTTCTGTCTCCTTGGCAACGGGACGCACAAGCTCCTGCAGGGAGCGGTGGCCGTTAGGTTCCGGCCCAGGTCATGTCGCGACCGAAGGTAGGAGTGACACCGATCCAGATGCTTTCGACCTCATTAGAGGAAGGGATGTCACTGGGGGATTCAGAATGGGAAGGTTGGGGGAGGGGTGGAGGGCGAAGATTAGGGTAAAGGAAACCCCGGATTCAGACTAAGAACTACACGTCCCGACCTGCCGCGCGCCACATGCACTCTGACGCATGCTCTGCAAGCCCTATGTGCTGGCGGGAAAGTTACCAGGACTCTAGACTGCCTCCCCAGTTTCCGTAACTCCGGCTCCGGTGTGATTTCCTGACCTGTAGAAACCTCTATAGAGATTCGTTCATCCCTCCAACTGTACATCCCTTCCTCCCTCCCTCCCTCCTTCCTTCCTTCCAGTTAGTGTCTTTTCTGTCAATCAGACAAGCCCTTGCCGCCTAGGAACCGGCAGGCCAACTCCCTGATTTTAAGAGCAGGAAAAATGAGATCCAAAGAAAATAAATGAGTTGCTCTAGAATCTATCTCTCTCACCCCAACCCGCTTATCGCGTATTCCAACGTCCCAAAATGCCACCTCTGTTTCTTTCTCACAACGAAAATGAGTCTGCCTTCAGAGCGCATGATTTTACTCTTTTAAAGCAGGACCCATTATTCCTGCTGTTGTTTAACATCTGCCTTTCCTTAAGACTCCATAATCTTAATCCCTGTATCCCAGTGTGCAGCAGAGCTGACCTGCAGTTGATCACTGTTGACTGCTCTTGAACTACTTTCGCTCAAACTGAAGAAACTGAACCGCTACTCTGTTTTCACTTCCTACATCCAATAAAACCTCCTCTTTTAACTTTGTGAATTGATATTGCATTTATTCTCTTTACCTCATCTTCTGCTGTGCTAAGCCACCAGGATCCACTTCTCGATTAAAATAATACTCTCTAGGGGGCTGGAGAGATGGCTCGGCGGTTAAGAACACTGGTTGTTCTTGCAGAAGACCGGGGTTCGAATCCCAGCACCCACATGGCAGCTAACAACTGTCTGTAACTCCAGTTCCAGTGGATCTGAAAGCCTCTTCTGTTCTCTGTGGGCATTGCACGACACAGGTGCACTTACCTACATGCAGGCAATACACGCATACACGCAACATAAAAAAAATTGAAATACTCTTTAAACACATACTGGACAGGTCTCACTTTTTAAAAGTGTTATTACAAAAGCAAAACAAACATTTACTATACCAGTCCTTTCCATACTGCCTGTTCCCCTTTGATACTAGCTAACAGTGGGTTCTTTTTTCTGTTGATTAAATAATTAAAAGACAGGAAAGGAGTTCACAGCAAAGCCAAAAAGTTTCTTGACAAACATTTCAGAGTCCTCAGGCAGAGGAGGAGAATCCAGAGCTGGGGAGACCATCAATTCTAAGACAGTTTAAGTTTTTATTTGGGTTTAAGGTGACCCACCTAGTGACCCTGTTTTCTATTGTTCTAAAGGTGTCTGTGTGCCCCATCCATAGCAGGGACTGAGCCTCTGTCTGTTCATGAACACAGAAATAATTGCAATAGGACCCCTTTGCTTGGTGCAGGAGCATGGAAGTGAAGGGGGAAAGAGATCTACCCATGCATTTAATGTTACTTTTGTGCGTGCCTGATGTTGTTTTTATTGTTTCATGACTGATTTTATACTTTTGGACAAAGTACTCATCTTATTGCTTTTTACAAATAGTTACTAAAAGTGTGCTGAAAAATGAAATAAAAATTAAAACAGAGAACACAAAAGACCTCAAAGCTATCTTGAGACACAAATACCAGAGTTATCTAGTAGATAATTGATAGGTAGAGAATGGGCAGGAGCGAGCGGGCGGCGTGGATGGAGGAAGGCACGAGTGGATGGATGAGGCATGGAGGCTCAGATGGAATTCTCAGTGGGACACAGATTTATTTCGAGGGAAGGGAAGGGAAGGGAAGGGAAGGGAAGAGAAGGGAAGGATGGCAGGGAAGGGAAAGATGTATGTCCGGAAAAGATGTCCGCCCATGGGTTGTGAACTGGGACTTTACATATGGGGGCTTTAGGGTGTGGAAGGGGGGAGTGTTTGGGGGAGAAATCAGGGAGGGGGAAGCAGATAGGATTAGGGTGTGGAAGTGTTTTTTTTTCCTCTTAAGATAAGAGGAACTCTGTTTATCTTATCTTTGGAGGTCAGAGGAAAGGCAGGCTGCTTCTCAGCAGAGTTTGTAGGTCCCTGTTGGGGAGGGGGTGGAGCTGCTATTTGGAACTCTAACATTCCAGCCTTTTGTGTTATATAGGATAGGGGGCACCGTTGTCATTTGGCTACTTCCTGCTGGTCAAGGTTGATGTGGGAAGGGTAGGCTGGAGTCAGGGTTCGGTCAGGCAGCAGGCATTTATACACCTTTTCTGGAGGGCAACTTTGGCTTACGGAGGACATTTGCTGTTGTAAGATCTGGATTGACTGGGCTGTTGCTTTCCCTGCTATAGTAAGTTTATGGAGGAACCCAGAGTTTATATCTAATGTCTGAGCCCATGTATAATTTAGGGAGATGATTTGGTCAGTGAGCAAGGTGGAGTAGTTGAGAAACTTTTGGCTCCAGTGGCCATGGATGTACTGTGAGAGTTCCATCCTGGACCTAGTGAGGTTATTTACTTTGTACGGTGTCACGCCATCTCCAATGGAGCCCACGTGAGATCCTCTGTGGGTTGAGGCTGGAACTTCAAGGAAGGTTGCCTCTTAGAATTGGTTGTGCTGAGAAACATGCAGTGTACTTGGCATGCTTTTACTTGCTATCATTTTTCTAACTGTCACTGTATCTTGGGCTTTCTGGGGGCCTGGAAAGCACCTGGTGTCCTTGGCACCGCTATCACCACCTTTATTAAGATGAAATAGTTATGTTTATAAGTCCCATACTTGGAAGGATTTCATGAGAGCTACAGGATTAGAATGGGATATTGATGTAACTTGGGGTTTGGAACATATTAATAAAAAAGGAAAAATAAAAGATAGATAATATAACAACATTGTTGTGCATCACCTAGAATTCAAAAAGTAACATTAATAATTACAGAG